GCATGTCAACATATTCTGTTACACCAAATACACAAAATAATGATCTTTAAAAAAGCATCATATGACCCCTTTAAGACGATGATCATTTTTGTCACTGATTTTTTTTGTCCTTGATTTATTTTTTTAAATAACAAATTTGTAATTAATTAATTAGTAGTAGTTTGTTGACTACTACTTTCCCCCCTAAATCTTTGTCTTTTATCTTTTTTTATATTAATTAAAACATTTTTTAAATTATTTATTTGTTTTATTCATTTCATTATAGCATTATATATCTTATATATATAATTATATAATTGCATATATAATTATCAATTATTAAAATATTTGATATTTTGATAAAATACTTACAAATTATTCAAATATTTTTTAATGTTTACTTTATTATTAAAATATATTAGCGAAATATACATAATTTATTATGTTATTAGTGTTTATTTAGTTTGATGATTATGATTTATTTGTAATTATGCTTTATGTATATTTTTTGTTGGTATGATTGAGTTTAACTCTCACCTTGTTCTTGTGACCTTGCTTACACACACACACACACACACATCGACTGGTTGTATTTCGGTTCCATCCTCTGACAGGAAGTATGCATCTTTGTATTCTTTGAGCATTTGTAAAGAAAAAGCTTCATTTTATCCTCTTCATCTTGTGGTTTTCCCCCACAGTCCTGTTTGACTCTTCCTGTCTGCTTTTGCACTTCTGCTCAACTGAAACAAGCTCAGACTGAGAGCTAAAAAAAATCAGCTTTTTGTTTGTGTTTTACGCTTCCTGGGGTCTTTTGGCTCGAGTCATGCTAATCTTGTGACAGAATGTCTCAATATGATTCAGATCATGTGAATTTGAGACAAAATATCCCAAAAATATCCATTATTGCCGTTAAAAGTTGTGTTCTTGCTTACATCAGCAGAAAAGGAAAAATAGTTTGTTGTTATTGTTATTTTGTTACTATGAATAGCAATATTACTACTGTATTTTATAGTATAATATCAATATAATATTTTATATCCGTATTATAGCATATTTTATATATTAGTTAATGTTATTATTATGGTTAATCGCTTTGATTACATAATTTAATAATAAAACATTTTATTTATATAAATACAAATATTTTCAATGTTTTTATTATTGTAATTAGTGTTTTATTAATAGTAATATCATAAATAAATATTTTATATATTTAATGTAAATTGTTTTCAAATAAAGATCGTTATGAATATTAAAGACTAAATGCATGGACTAACATGGTCTTGCTTACATCAGCGGAAATATTTTTTTTTGTTATTTTGTTAATATGAATAGTAATGTACTATTAATTATATTTTCTATTAATAATAATAGTAGTATTATTAGGGTTAATCATTTTTATTATATAACAATTTACTAATAAAATAAATAATTTGTAATTTTATAATGCAAATCATTGAAATATTATTTATTATTTTTTAAATAAAGATAATTATGAATGTGAATTCAGAGTTAAAGACATATTTAACCCCACTAACATGATCTTGCTTTTATCAGTGAAAAAGAAAAAAAATATTATTTTGTTAATATGAATAGTAATATTATACTTCATGTTTTATGTATTTACTATAATTTATTATTATTATATTCAGCATTTTGATGAAATAAAAAAATTATGAAATGTATAATTATAATTTTATAATACAAGTAAATAGTTATAATTTATTTTATTTATTGCAGTATTATTTTATTATTTTATTATTTTATGAATATTCATTTTATGAATGCTAAATACTACTTATGAATAATAAGTAGTATTTAGTAATCATCAATTATAAATGTAATATAATTGAATTCAGAGTTTAAAAATATTTAGCCCCGCCCACATGGTCTTGCTTACATCAGCAGAAATGAAAAATAGTTTCCGAGTGCTACAATAAAACTACTTTAATTCCATTTCATTAACCAGCGTCACTCGTTTGTCACATGTACATGTCTTTATTTGTGTTTTAGGATAAAAAGAAATACCTGGACATCATTCATTCGTACATGGAAGTGCACGGCACGGTCCACGGCACGAGTACAGTCCACCTGCCGGCCTACGTGAAGAACCACGGCATCCTCAGAGGACGCGACCTCCAGTTCCTCCTGCGCGAGACCAAGGTCTGAATCAACTAACTCCTTTTGTTTTTGCTAAACATTTCTGGTAGACTTGAATATGGCCTGTAGTCATTGATTAGGACTTTCTGACATGTGTTTTGAGTTTATAGCACAGTGTAATAAGTCTGTCCCGTTGTCTATGCTTGAAAGCTAAATGTGAAATCTGCCCTGCACTTGCACGGTGACGTTCATTGACTTTGTGGCCAGTGTGTGGCGTGAAAATCAGCCACGAGAGAGGATGTGCTGTTCTGCTGTTTCTCCGAAGTATCAAAGCTTATCTTTCCTCCCGCCTCGGCCTTTTTCCTCACTCTGAGCTCTACTATTAACTTCCCTGTTGTTTCAACTTCATGCACAGTCCAGAGAGAGCGAGGCCGCTTCATTTACATACAGCGAAAGTGATCGTGTCTTCAGACGAATTCGTCACTTGGCAGCCTAGCAGACACTCGCCTGACGGTGCTTCTACCACACATCACTGTTGCCAACTCTCACGAGACAAATAAGCAACCGCAGCTTCAAAAACAAGCCCAAAACAAGCCCAATATTTTTTGATAATTTATTATCATCAATATTATTTATTATAAATGATTTATTACCAATAAATGAGCCCGCAGCATATTAAACTGAAAGTTTAAAAGTTTTTATTAAAAAATATAACATGTTATTTTACAAAAATCAGCAAACTGCAACAAAGCAGGAACAAAGCTCATCTCCAATCACCTGTGAGCAGAATAGGATTTTAGAGATGGAAAAGGAGAAAAACACAAGAGCTTCAAAGGGGAGCTGTAACATAGTCACATATTTACAGCCTACTAACATATTGGCTATTCGAACCAAATCTACTCTTAGTATTAGTATAGGCGTACTTGTTTTTTTTTTTTATTGTTTTTTTTTATACAGTCCGTGATAATTAATAGTAATACATTACAAAAACATTGTAAAAATTAAAAATTAGGCTACCTTATAAAGGAAAAAGTCATCCCACTCCTCTACATCTACTACTATCATCGCTTGGATTACAGCGTCACGCGCCTTCCTTTTGAACGTGATTTTTATTCAATCCCTCATTGAAGAAAAATCACGTTCAAAAAGAAGGCGCGTGCGGAGGGGGCGAAATATTTGACAAATTACACTACAGCACTTATATTTTTGCACTGATTGGCTATTAACTGTGAGCAGACAGAGTGTCAATCAATGCATTGGAGAATACAGTGAACATAAACGAAAAGAAACGAAGTTGCTTGTCAGGTTTTCCTAAATAAGCCCAAAAAACCGCAACCCGGGATTTTTTCACGCAACTTTACAATAAAAGAAGCCCAAAGTCGCATATAATACGCGGTTGGCAACTCTGCCACACATGCTGAAGAACTCTCAAACTTTCTTTCTAGAAGCCTGCTTTTTTCAGTACATCTTTGCTGCTCCCTGTTGGTAAACCATAGAAGTTCAACCAGAAAAAGTTTCTATCATTTTTATGCATAAAAAGTGGCGGTGGACGAGGAGATACCCCCTCACAATGTAGAGCTCTTTGAGTGCTTAGAAAAGCAGAAAAGCGCTTTATAAATGTAATGAATTATTATTATTATTATAATTAATTATATTGTTTATTATTGTTGTTGTTTTTAAATTATATTATAAATCATCTTATATATATATATATATATATATATATATATATATATATAAAACAGTAATAAAATATTTTTTTCTATAAAGATATTGTAATGATGTACTATTTTTGACATGTAGGCAATTTAGAAAGTATATTTTTGTTAAATCTTGAGTATTAAAGTCATGAGAGAGATAGATATCAGGGCAAAATAAAGAGACTGAAAAGAAAAATTGAGGTGAAGGTGCAGTTCAGGAGAGAACTTTTAATTATTTTGCATGTCCCCAACCTAAGGATTTAATCCTTTTTTAGGTCCATACAAAAAATAGGGTTGTCCATGTTTCAGAATATAAATCTAATAATTTTATATTAATTGCTTTCTTTTATTATTATATGCTATTATTTACATATACATACTGTATATTGTTGCTTTGGTTAAAAATATCTGCTTAAATGTAAATTAATAATTAGTGTTTTATTATTAATAGCATTATTATAAATTAATATTTATATAAACATTAGTGTTGCTTTGTAACAAAAAAAAAAAAAAGCACTTGCTACATGCATAAAATGTAAATGAATAATTAGTGTTTTATTAATATTAATTCCAATATTATACATTATTATTTACATATACATACATGATCACTTTGGATAAAATTGGTTACTAAATGCATAAAATATCAGTTATTTTATATATATATGTTATTTTTTCAAATAGAGCTAATTATGAACACTTAAGACTAACTGTAATTATAATTTTTTTGAATTTTTAGAATTAAAACAACATATTTACAGTCCTTTTAAACTCTTCTTGTGAAGTAAATGAGGTTAAACTAACATTCCTCATCAGTGAATGTTAGTGCTGCGTCACTGGTGCATTATGGGTCAGTGTGATCGGTGTGTAAGCGTGTGGTCATCTGTCCGGCGTGGCACAGGCAGCTCATTGTGTGTCCGTCCGGATGAGCCGCGCCGCCTCTGCTAGCCTCACTGAAACATTTGCTTAAAGGGGTCATATGATGCAATTTAATTTTTTCCTTTCTCTTTGGAGTGTTACAAGCTCTTGGTGCATAAAGAAGATCTGTAAATTTGCAAAGACTAAAGTCTCAAATCCAAAGAGATATTCTTTATAAAAGTTAAGAGTCAGCCACGCCTACCTGAAACGGCTCGTTCGAACACGCCCCCACATATCTACCTCACTATGTGGGAAGATTTGCATAACGCCGCCCAAATGTTCACACAAAGAAAGAAGGCGCAACTTTTATTCTCGCTGTAGTATTGTTGCCGCTGCCGCCATGTCGTGAGTGCGCTGTGTGCTTCGTTGTGAAAGCGAAACTACTTTGTTTGGTCTTCCAAAAGAGGATGATATCCGCTTCGTCATGCCTGGAGCTGATCCTTGCTGGTCGCTGAGAGAATACATCAACTTAGTGCTGTGGATCGCTGTATCGGCTTTCACCGTTTTCACCGCTCCTTCGTCAGATCCGCCGGGACCGCCGTTCTCGATCCCGCCGCCTCAGCTCACTCTTGCCCGGCCTCAGCTCACGCTAAGCCGGGGCTT